TTCCTGTAACTGAAGGGGCCCTGGTGTTTTGACTGTTCCCTCCTGCAGCCTCAGGCGCATTTCATCCCATCACCGCGATCCTGGAGACCCTTAAACCTGCGGTTCAGGGACCGTCAGGAGGTCGAGTCCGTCGACGTCTCTACATGTTTCATGTTGTGGTATTGTCTGTTTTTATCAGGTCTGTGTGTGCACGTGTGTGTGTGTGTGTTTAAATCCCGAGGCAGACGAGCCGTATTTCTTCCCGTTCATGTGGCTCTCACACACACACACACACACACACACATCTTAGCCAGCTGTGTTTGTCTTGCGATGATGGAGTGTGTGTGTGTTCTATATCATAGAGGGGAAGTGTGTGTGTGTGTGTGTGTTCATTGACTGACTGTCATGGACCAAATGAAACCATGCTGTTGGGAGGCAGCGCTGCTAAAACTCTGTGTTTTTATTGAAGGGTCGGACGTTTGAGCCAACACCACCGTGGACCACGGAGACAGAGTCTCATTAGAGGCTGATAACATCTTGCTGGCCTTCAGGTTCATCACTGAGTCTCAGATTCATCACTGAGACTCTTCACATTTCAAACTCACTCTTGGGCATTGGCTTTTGTTTTTTTTTTCTTTGATAAAATCTTCAGTTTTGCTCCAGCTTTTTTTTTTTTTTTTACGCTCGGCATTTGTCCAGGACCGTACCTGACTCTTCCAATATCATCACAAATATTAGCACATCACACACATATGGAAAAGTCCTTAATCACTGGAGTCATTTCGTCTGGTTCGGTTCCCAAAAAAATTGTTTGACTTTGAGGCGTGAGGTGAACGGAAAACAACAGTTCCCCCTGAGTGTGTTGTTTTGTTTGAATCCATACGACAGCGTGGATTCTGTTTCATGGATTTATCTGTAAATACTTACAGATGAGTCCCATAATGTATGAAGCTGACCTGAGGTCAGTGATGTCCAAACCATTCTCTATTTAACCACGAGTTAGGACTTTGAGGATTACCAAACTTGTCCAAACGAGTCCATGTGTCGTTTTCAGCGAGACATGATTTTGATATACCGGACCAAAAAACTTCGGACTCTCGTCCCTGCTCATATGGATTCTTCTTCTCATACATTTGGCCCCAAACGAGGGAAATACCTGGAAACCAGGAAGTGAAGCCAATTATTCAATGATTATCATGTGTGGTTTCAGCCTCTAATTAATCGACCTGGAGAGAAAGGGAGAAAGTCCAAAAACATCCCTAGGTGGATTTGGATATTCCTTCGTTTTTTTTCCTGCTGCTGATGATTTCCCTCTTTTGTTTCTGTCAGGTTCTGGAAAGCGTCGCAGGAAGCAGGACCACTGCTGTGGTCACCTGAACTCCCTCTCCGCCATCAAGTACGCCATTGTTTCCCTCTACATCCTGGTTCTCCTCACCATCTTTGGTCTCTGCCTGACAGGTAGGCATCCAGTTAATGTACGTAAGCATCGACGGGGTTCAGGCAGGTCTGGTATCAGATGATTGGCCTTTAATCCAAACCTTAACCTGAGCTCAGTCGTTACAGTATCTTATTTTACTGTTGATCTGTGACAGCATGTAGAAAATTTGTAAAAAGAATCCCACAAGACTTACATTCAAGCTGTAATGGCTCTTCTGTCCAGTAGGGGCTTGGTGTTGTCAAAAAGTCGAGTCTTGGTCAAGTGTCATTGTCAGTGAACATTAGTGCTAATAAGAGTTAACTTTGAAAACCAACGTTGCCTTTCTGGGCAACAACGTTAGCCTCCAGAGGTAGGCGCTCTTTCTGTTTTTTATTTTTATTTCATTTATCGACAGTTCAGTTAGTCTTTAAACATGTGTTCAGTGCTTCACAGAGTGATTTGGTTTTTGGGTGTGAAGTTTTGCTGATCGACGTTGGTTCCAGCCAAAACTACGTCAACAGTCAAACAGTGTGTGAGAACCGTTAATGCAGAGTCACATCCTTCAGAACTTTGAATTCTTACTTCCAGGTTTGTGGGACACATCATTAGTAGTAAACCATAAAGAGTGTTTGGGTCCATTAGCGCTCTGCACCCTGATCCAAGGAAAACCCCGCTGAGGTGGACCGTGCTGTTCAGGAACCCGTCAGCGGTGTGATATGAACCCGAGGCGTTCTGTTATGAAGTACATTTCATTTCCACTGGCAACCTGTTGCTCTTTCCAGTTACTGAGCGACTGTAGCTTCAGAGGCACCAGCAACATTTCAAACATCTCATGTCTCAGTGATTGGCACAAAAAAAACTCCGATGTGGAAAATTGGACCTGTGAGTTATGGAAATGAGGGTCCACATCAATGGCTTTGCAGCGCGGTGTGTCATAAATTCCACCGTCTTCAGAGCTTACGCTGCTCTTTCTGGACCGTTTGGGGAAAAAACCCTGGCTCGCCGCCACAGTTGTTGCACGTGTGTGTGTGTGTAAAAATGAGCCGAGGCTGTTGAGGTGAGTCGGACTTTATTGAGGTTACCTTTTGTGAACCCTGCTGGAGCTTCCTTGTAAATATCATCCGTTTATTACAGCAGACAGACAGGAGGCGAGAGAGTGAAGAAAATAACGTACGATCAAGAAGTGATGGACCTAGAAAAGGTTTGAGTCCTGCCTGGCGTCCGACCAGGAGAAATCCAGGTCTCACACCCGTCCAAATGTCTTTTCAAGACATCCTCTCCCCTGAGCCACCCACTCAACGCCATTACCACCCAGCTGATGCCATTAAACCTCCGTGGCTGTGTGTATTCCCAGGGGCGCAGTTGGGAGTTTGGAACCGGTCGGTTGCCGTCACAAAGACATTTGGTTTATTTAAGGCTTTTCAAACGAGGCCGTTTCGAAGAAACGCAATCAAAGTGACCTTTTCATTGAGCTTCTCCTAAATGAAATGCCAGCCAGCCAAAAGCTGAGTGGCTCCAGAGTGACTTCAGGGGGGAAGGCTTTTTGTTAGTACATGCACACATACAGTACACACATCCTCAACACTACAGCGTAGTGCACGGGGGAGTGTGGTTGGCAGTTCTCCGACGTGAACACAGATTCAGTTCTTTGTTGTCCACCTTTTCAGCTCTGGGTCTGAATCCTCAAATGACTCCCTCCTCTCCTCCCAGAAAGGTCGCGACCCCCTCCTCCCCCCAAACCCCTGATTCCTATACTTTCACAAACATTCATATTTCATGGCAGTATCACGGTGAAGCTCCCACCTCGGCCTGAACACATCTGCGCTGCTGACACGTTAAGTATGATATAGGACTTTCTCTGTCAGCAAAACTGAATGTAAATCACCAGGTTGGACAAGTGAGAGACACAAGAATGGAAAAAAAAAGAAAACCCAACAGGATTAAGAGGAGAGACAAGTGCCAGATGGAGCTTCATTCATCATGGAGTCAAGTGTGGCTTCATCAGAGGCTGAAGAACGATGTCAGGAGAGATCAGCAGCAGAGAACAGAAAGGAGCTCCGCTGCTCAAACATCAGCACTAAAAATGGACGTAGTCCTGGCCTCGTCCCAAACTCCTTATAAAGAAATGCGCCCTGAACTTCACCGTGCTTCTCTGTTTCCTGCAGATGCTCATGGACGTTCCTCTTTTCCTCCCTCTCTGAGACTGAACTCTCTTCTGCTACAGCGAAATACTTCAAACTTCAGCCTAGAAGGTTCAGATCATCTGATTCCATTTTTCTCTGAGACTTCTCTGGACCCCAGATGGATGTGGTTTGGGTCCCTCTTGGTCTTGGAGCTAATGGCCCAACTGGGCTTCGTCCAATACCTTGGAGAGGTCGTGAGCAGGATCCATCCATCCAATCTATTTTCTGCCATTAAAGTGAGGTTGGGTTTCAGGGGCCGCGGCCACAGTGACATACTGTCCGTACCACAGCCTGCTCTTCGCTCAAAGTTTTTTGGAAAAACTCTGTGTATTTGATGCTGTGCAGTAATGAAATACACAGGTTTGTACTGTAAAAGAACCCCCTCACCCCCTGATACTTACAGCCGTTTGTTTGTAGTTAAAACTAAACGCTTACTCAGCTTTTTTGTCAAGCTCTGTGCTGAGTTTGCCAATTAGCGATGACTTACCGCTCCTAGGTTCGTCTGTTAAGTTCGGTACTTTCTGCAGGAAAAGTTAAAATTGATATATATATATATAAAAAAGGGAACATAAATAAGAAAACAGAAACCTGTGTTTTTATGTCTTTGCCCCCTAGTTGTGGAAAATTTTATTACTTTTTATTTTATTACAGTAAAATGGATTTTCAAATTCACCAAAGAGACTTTTTTTTTAAACGCTGTAAGTGTTTCTGGCTCTGCGGCTCGGCAGTGCCGTGTAGAATCACACGACTGATCTTATTTCTTGGATAGGTTTGACTGTTGCTCGGGGTACGGACACTTAAAATCTGAGTTTTTGGAGCGTCTCTTATTTTGTGTTGGCCAGACACTGCTGCAAAAATATCTGGTTCTACATCTGGAGACGGTTCTAATGTTAGATTGTGTAAAACACCCCACAAACATCAGGGTTACATCAGTCCGTGTTTGGGATCGGGGTTGAAAACGGGGGCCTGGTCTGTGCCTGGGTGTCCAGGACCTGAGCTCCAAGAAGGATTTTCACATTTTATTTCTCTGCGTTTCTCGTGTTTACAAGCTGCACTGGAGAGAAAACTGTGGAAAACAGAGCAGCGTTTGTTCAGTTTTATCCACCTGCCATGTTTACAGGCCCGTTTCTAGCCACACGTACCGTAAGAGCCAGTTACGCTAACAGTATAATTTCCCGGCTGCATGTTTTGAATCCTAAACTGCAGCTTATATCCCTGTGTTTAAGTTTATGCCGAGGTGCAGCTGAGTCATGTTTTCCAGTCGGAGGAGAGGTGCAGCTCACAGGTCTGGCACCGATTCTTCTGCTCGTTTTCCCGATCCAGTTAATTGGTGGAAAACATGAGGGCAGATTTTGTTATTCTTTTCCTGAGCGCCCTGGATTCTCTTCCAGGTTTTCAAAGATACCGTAGGTAACAGGCGTGTCATTGACGAGCTAGTTCCCTGCGTTATCATGATGAATTCCTTCAGCAGCTATATTTTGTTTGGAAATATTTCGGTGGAAATCAGAATATTTATATTGCGCTTTCCAGTTTTGCTCGGATACCGTTTGCATCTCCTGCCAAACAAACACGGAGAGAAATCATTTGTCAACATTTTAATTTGTTATAGCAACATGGAGTCTCTCCCGTCGTGTTTCTGTTCCTGGGTGGCAGTCGGATCACGACATCTACAGTAAATAAGCCGTGTGTTTATACACACTTGTTTTTTTTTTGCTAACTGAGCCTTGTTGTTTTTAGTTATTTAACCTAATCCTGGCCTGACTTTTTTTTTTTCTCAACATCAAGTTTGTTTTTCTTTTCGTTGTATTTTCGTTTCATTATAAGCTTAGAGTAATTGTTTATTTTTTTGACAGTGCCTACGATTTTCCTACAATTTTTTTTTTGTTATTTTGAAGCTAATGTTTGGCAACTTGTTCCCATTTTGGCTAAATTTCAACTTGCTGTATTTTGACTATTAGCTATTTATCTTTAAATCCAGTTCCCTATCACGTTAACGTGTAGCTGTTTCTGGCCTTTTCCAAGTGTTTCTGTTGATATAACTATGGAAGTCGAGCAGTTTATGGTCAATGTACTTTATTTTTATTTATCTATTAAAATTATGAAGTACTTTATTAGTCGAGAAAAACAGAAATACATGTGATAATCATCAACATACAGAGACACATCTGTTCAACTGTATCCAAGAAATAAAAACCAGTCAAACCAGAAACTTGGGGAAAATTCAGTACACATGTGCACACACACGTTTAAAGAAACCCATGAGACATGGAACACACACCCACACACACACACCCACACACACACACCGTCATGTATGTGGCTTGCACACATCGTCCTGGAGTCTGAGAACATAAAGCCCTTTCTAATGAGTTTCTGCGCTGTGGTTGTGGATTTTTCTAAAGAAAAGAGTCTGGAGAAGGTCCAGGATCCCCAGTGGGAGTCCATCGTAAGAGGAGGACTTACACACACACACACGCACACACACACACACACACAGACACAAAGATGAGAGTGAAGGATGTCGAGTAAAGTCAGTCCTTCATTCCTGAACAACAAAAGTCAGCAGACAGACGCATTCATGCAGTCAAACACAGGTCATTAGCATGTCAGCACTAATTGGACAAGACCCCCCCCCCGCTCTCGGTATATTGTTATGTCCTCTTGAGTCAAAAATGTCGACTGGAGATTGTGTCCTAATCGTTACCAAGCGGAGGCCGATGTGGTTGAACGGTTAAATAAATCTCCCACAGATGATTCAAAACGGATGTTTTTACTTTCAGGGGGACTTTCTTTTTCTTTTCTTTTCTTTTTTTTTTCTTCTTTTCTCCAGTTCTGATTGAACTCCAGCCGAGCGTTAT